AACACAAAAAATACTGACAAAAAATAGATTAATACAAAAAATACTTTAACACTGAGTAGTGATTTTTAAAGCACCATAATATCTATATATACATACATATATATATATATATATATATATATATATATATATATATATATATATATATATATATAAAGAGATCTTTAAATTATTAAGTAATTTTTTTTTTCTTGTTGGTAATCAACAGGAAGAATAAAAAGAATTATGATTAGGCTCTCCATACAGGGGGCAGAAATAAAGCCTTAGTCACCCATTAAACCTCTGAACCAAATTAGTAAAATGGAAAAAGATAAACAATTCTTTTGCCTTAAGATTATGTCTAAAAATTGAACTTAAAAAACAGAGCATATTAAAGAATTTTGCAAGTGTTCTGATATAGTGCTATATGAAAATATTTAGATGAACAAATGTAATTAGAAAAAAAAAATGCTGTTAAAAAATTAATTACAAATAAATAAATTACGAATCATCAGGTGAATGGGGTCTGGGAAACTCTGTAAATAATAATAATTAAAAAGTTTTTAAATTTTTCTTGAAACTAAGTTCAGTATAGGGCTTTTTTTTAATGGGCATACTAGCAATAATTCTTTTTTTGATATAACAAACAAACAATGTAAGACTTAATTACTACATAATATACAAATGCTTAATTAAGTTAATAATCTTGATAGATAGCTTATTTTTTTGAGCATTCGAAGTCTGATATCAAATTTGATAATGTAAATACATTAATGTATTTACATTATCAAGACTAAAATGGTAACTTTTTTATAGAATAAGAATAGTTTTTATATATAATGAGAGTATCACAGTTGTTAGTACAACAAAACAGAAAATAAACATTTTCATACAGTATACCTAAATATATAACTAACTTAAAGCTAATTTAAATTTTTTATAAAATTTTTTTGTTAAACTGGTGTTTATACATCTAATTGTGCCTTTAATGGCCAAATACTAAAATCTATACTAGATTAAAGAAAAACTAGTCCAAAATTTATGTAAAAAAAACAACTGAAAAATTGTTTAAAAAAAGCAATACAACACCAAAAAAAACCAAAAAAACACCAAAAAAAACGCCAAAAAAAACCAAAAAAACACGTTTTTTTGACCCAAAAAAACGCCAAAAGAAAAAAACGCGTTTTTTTTGCAACTCTCTCTCTCTCTCTCTCTCTCTCTCTCTCTCTATATATATATATATATATATATATATATATATATATATATATATATATATATATATATATATATATATATATATATATATATATATGTTATATATATATATGTTATATATATATATAGTTGTTATATATATATATATATATATATATATATATATATATATATATATATATATATATATATATATATATATATATATATGCGGTAGTGGTGTAGTGGTAGAGCGCTCGCTTCATAAACGAGTGGTTCCGAGTTCGATCACCACCACGTCCCTGGTAGTACCGCGCTCAACTTGTTTCTCCGTGCAGCGGCCTTGTTCGTCAAGGTTCGTGTTTTGGAGTTATAGAGTTGAGAGAGGGTTATAACCACAAATAAGTAGCCTCCTCATTTGTAGTGGCCTTCTCAGCCTCGAGGAGGTGAATTGAAATAAAGAAAAAAAAAAAAAAAAGTATATATATATATATATACATATATATAACAAGGATATATAATTTTTTTTATTATTTGTATTTTTTGTTAAGACTTTTTAGAGGAAAATTTTAGTAACTTTTTTTGATTTGAAAATGACTTATTATTTTATAGTCTTATATAGTCTTGCATGGTAGTCAAAAAGTTTCTTCCATAAACTGTTGTTTTAAAGAGAGCGCTAATAAACCAGACCGGAAAAAGTTTAAAAACTTAAAAAAAATTTAAAAAACAAAACAAAACAATAAAACTATAGATTGCTTGCCCAATCCAGATTTTTATTCAATGTAGCAGCACTTCCTTGTAGTTGCAGGCTATAAGATAGTCAATGTAGCAGCACTTCTTTGAAGCAGCAGGCTATAAGATAGTCAATGTAGCATCACTTCTTTGAAGCAGCAGGCTATAAGACAGTCAATGTAGCAGCACTTCTTTGTAGCAGCAGGCTATAAGATAGTCAATATAGCAACACTCCGCGCATTTTGTTTTAAAAATATTTTTTTCGAAAACAAAAGCCTTATTAATCACTTTCTTGTCAACTTTCTTGTCATTATTGTTGCGGTTTTTTAAAAAACAACAAAACTTAATGTACTTTTGCATTATTTTAATTAGTTTGACTTTTAGATGACATAAAAATGTAGCTTATTTGTTGAAGTCGTCAAAATGTTGTTGAAAGAAATTTTTTTACCATAAAAGTCTCTTTTGACTATGATATATATATATATATATATATATATATATATATATATATATATATATATATATATATATATATATATATATATATATATATATACATATACACACACATATATATATATTCCTATAGTTTGACATCTAAATTTATCGTTTGTGGTAACAAATGTCTCTTAACAACTATTTTTGTTTAAAAGTGATTAAATTAAGTACACTTTATCCAAAAATCATTAAATTTAATCGAGGAAACTAATTAAATTTTGTTGTTTTTTAAATAAACTCAAAAATGCAACTTTAAAATTCAGGTTGATTTTTTTTTTTTTTTTTATTAAAAAAAAACAGCATTCTGAACATTGTTATTTTTTATGTATTTACTATTTACATACATCGACCAGGGAGAATCCAGACCTGTTTTAGTACCGCTGGAGTGGTATGGGCGCCCAAAAATTATTTTAATTTTTTAATTTTTCTTTTGATAAAACTATTTTAAATTATCCATTCAAAGTAAAGTTAATTTTTGTTTTTTGGCAATTAAGAGTAAGCTGCTTTTGATAATAAATGAGCTAAAGTAAAAAAGTTTCTGTCTTATTGACTATCGCGTAAATTTAATTTTTAAATGAATGAACTTTTGATCTTTAGCTATTTTAGTTTACGTGTGGAAAACAAAAAAACAAAACATAAACTTTTTCAGAAAGTTTTTTTTTTTTTTTCTTTTTAACATTTAAAATAATAAAAATAACAATTACAATATCTTACTAAAAGTTTTATTCTGTTTAAAATAACCCATAGTAAGTGTAACTTATATATTAAACATGAATTTTCAAGTTATACTTACTGATTAAAAATTATTATATATTTTTAATAATAACGTGGACTAAACTCTGTGGTATTTCCAACAAAAGCGTCTTAAGTAAAATAGTTTTCTTATTGTAATTAAAGTAACATTGTCCACCGGTAAATTTATGTATTCAAAAAAATGCCTTTAAATCAACTCTCTATCTTAGAATAAAACTAAAAAGATAAACACAAATGATTAAAATGATAATTGAAAAATTGATGATTAAAAATCATTGTTGCAGTACCGATTTTAACTAGGGGAGGGGGAGGAGAAAGGTGGAGGAGAGGGAGAAAAGAAACTTAAACCCCTCCCCCCTTCCCCAACGATGCCAGAAAAAAAAGTGGTATCCCCAAATAAACTCTGGATTCTTCATTGTTGACTGACAAATAGGTAGAACATGCAGGAAGTGCTGCTACATCGACTGACATTGACTGAGGGTTTTGGTTTGGGCAGGCAATCTATTAAAATATATATTTTTTTAAAGTTGTTAAACTTTTTCCTGCCTTCTTAAATAATAATAATAAAAAAAATAAAGTTTACATAGTATGATAAAAATTAAAGACAATCATGCAAGAGTTTACATATATCAGGCCTTGTGATGAATAAAAACTGCGTGACGCATAAGCATGACGTGATTTTTGACATCATTAAATTCTTTTTATTTGCTTTTCATATTTATTGACAATAACTGCACCAATTTACTTAATTACCGCAAAACTACTTTAAATCATTAATTGTAGAAATGTTATTATTTTAAAATGTTTTGGAATGTTTTGTTTTTTAAAAATGTAAAAACATTTGTTTATTTTCTTGACGTTTGACACATTTTGCCTATACTAAACAAATAAAAAACATTATAACTAAACATTTAAAAAAGATTATAAAATATGCTAATATTTGATTTTTTTTTCCTCAAATATGTAATTTAAAGTTTTTCAAATTATTATTTTTTCTTTTTAAAAAGTTAGCGAGTAATAAACTTGAAATTTTAATATTGTACGATTAAAAACTGTGCAATAGCTAATATTTTTACCAGCAATTTTATATAATATTTTTTAATTTTTTTATTTTTATTTATTTTCATAAAGCGGTTGATAAGCATAATCACACGTATTAATAAAAAACTTTAACAAACATTTTGAATAGATTTTTAATGTTTACAATGAATTTTATTTCTAGTAAAATAAATAAAAGAGTTTCTGTAACTTTTAACAAAAAGGCGATTGTTATTATTTAAGTGATTTTTTTTTGAGTTTTTTTTTACAAAGTTTTACAAAAAATTTAATAACTGTACTTTTTTATTAAATCAAGTAGAATACGTTTTAATATTAATCCTTTTATTTTTTTATTTGCGCTTACCAATTTTTAAAATGTTTTCTCGAAATTACTCTTAAATATGTCTAACAGTTAATAATGAGCATATTTAATTTTTTTGTAATTCAAACTTATATATTAACTGCGGTTTTTAAAATACTTTATTAAATGTTAAAATAATCGTAAATTACTTCATTAAAATTCTGCTCAAAAATATCTTTAAATACACTAAAAAAAAAATTTTTTTGCTCGACGCAAATAGCCCTAGCTACACGCAAAATCGCTCTTGGACGACGTAAAATTCACATCGCCTGACGCTTTATCGCAAGGCCTGATATATATATATATATATATATATATATATATATATATATATATATATATATATATATATATATATATATATATATATATACTCTTAATAAATTTGTTTGAAATTTTATAGTTTGTGGCATTTTTATTTTGTAATCATTTTGTTTTTAAGGTGACAAAAGTAGATGAACCTTCAAAATATGGTGTTGTAGTGTTTGATGCATCAACTGGCAAGATTGAAAACTTTGTTGAAAAGCCAGCTGAGTTTGTTTCAAACAAAATTAATGCTGGAATGTATATTTTTAATCCTAGCATACTTAAAAGAATTTTGGTAAAGATATTTTCTATATATTTGTACTTTATAAAGAAATTTTACTAAAATACCTTTTTATTTTAACTTTTCACTTAATTTATACTTTTAGACTGGGTGGGTATTTATTATATATGAAAGAAAATAAAAAATATATGATTAATATATCATTTATATGTCAAAATATGGAAAATATAGAATATGGAATGAAAGTTCAACTTCGAATAAAAAAAAAATTAAAAGAAAACAATTTTGAAAATAAAAAACGGCAGAGACATGTTGAGTTTATTTTAAAGGGATCCCCAACTGCCGAGACAAGTTGTGTTCATATTAAAGAAAATGTTTAAAAAAAGATTTGGGCTAAATTTTTTTGATTAAAACTAAATAATGAATGCATACCAACAAAATTAAAATGCTCACCTTCTTCATTTTTTTTTTGGTTCTTGGGGTCTGTATAATGTTAGCTGCAACCTACAGACTTTATTCCATGCGTGTTTAATTCATAACAGTTTCGGTGTATGACGTCATCACAATATCTTTTTAAGATAGCGTTTTTTTTTTTTTAAAGATATCAGTATTTTTTCTGCTACAAGCAGAAAATCAAGTATTTGTATAATTTTTTACTAAATCACTAAAAATATTTGTGATTTAGTAAAAAATTATACAAATATATATATATATATATATATATATTTATGTTTATATATATATTTTTTTCTTGCTTTATTATTACTTTGTTTTAGAAGCCAGCCAAAATCATGACACAATTATACATATTTTGTGATTATTAGAATTCGCAGGCAGAGAAAAAATAAAGGCAGTGTGATGCGGTTTCTTGTTTTATATTTAGTTTATATGGTTTAATAGAGTTGTTGGTTTTATGTCTAATTTACTTTCTAACTCTTTCACTACCACAAGCTTTTGGTAGCGGCTTTCAAGTATGCTTTACAATTTATCTTGATTTGTACATAAATTCCCACTCTAGACACATAGAATTTGTTTGTTCTAAAGGTTTAATTAATTCTCTATACAATCAAGAAAAAATAAGAGCTATATTATGTAATTATCTATATATAGAGCTATATTATGTAAATATAAGCTATATTATGTAATTATTATATAAAAAGTTATCACAAAGTTAAAAAATCTTGAATAATCCTTCATAAAAAAAGACTTTTTTAAATTTAGTTATAAAATAAAACAGCGTTAACACTGTAAAACTTAACTTGTAGAAGTGTTAAGGATTTAGTTAAGTAATTACCAAAGTCTTTTGAAGAAAAAATTTTTGTACAAATATTTGTTTTAACTTTAATTTTGTTTGATTTGTATGATTATTAGTAAAATAGTTCTTTAATATTTATTTTTTTACTTAGTTCAGTTTATATGTTTTATTTAAGTCACTTGTTTTTTATTCAGTTTATACTTTAAATTAATTTGTACCCTTTAGTAAAATTAATCCTTTAGTATCTAGTTTATATTTAGTTTAAAGTACATTTTACTGTGAATATTTGTTATAAATTAATTTTTTTTTTTTATAAATTTAATTTTTAATTGCATTTAGTAAAAAGTTATACAATTAACATGATTTGGTGATAGTGGCAAAAAAATAATACGACATCTTGAAAGAAAAAATTTTGTACGAGATGTTATATACCAAAACTGTTATGATTTAAACATGCATGGAATAAATTATCAAGTCTGCAAATTGTTTCTAACATTATACAGACTCCAAGAACCAAAAAAAAACGGAGACGGTGAACTTCAACTAAAATGTGAATTTAAAATTAATGGGGTGCATTCATTACTTTGTTTTAATTAAAAAAATTTAGCCCAAATGTTTTTTTCAAATATTTTCTTTAATATGAACACAACTTGTTTTGGCAGTTGGGGATCCCTTTAAAGAGAATAATAAAAAATGTTTGGTTTAAATATTTTGATTAAAACAAAGGAATAAGTACATGTCGAGAAATACTAACTTTTTAATTTTAATCGAAACTTGCCTTCTCAGTTTTATAATAGGCCAAATAATCTTCACAATATATGCCACAATCTACAGACTTTAAAAAGTTTTAGTACTAGGCGTCATTGAAAAAAAAAATGACAACATGTACTAAAATAATTAAAATTTTTTGCAGCATCTCGGCTCTTTAAGATCCCTTTAAGATTCTATTATTTGTTCGTAAAAGCAAAAAACAAAAGTAAAATTTTTTACAGTTAACCATAACTAAAAAAATATAATAAATATATTTACATTGTAATGTGATTTTTAAAATCAGAAGACAGATGGATGTGAAATTTGAAGAAGGATGGATGTGAAATTTGATTAGAAAAAATATATATATATTTACATGGCAACGTGATTTTTAAATCAGAAGACAACTATTTTTTAATAATTCAATTATTCAAGTTTTTTTTAAGTTTTTTTAAAAAGGGAATGGCATTATTCAATCTAAAAAGCAAAAGGATGGATCTGAAATTTGATTAGAAAAAATACAGTGTTCAACTCTATATTATTACAAATTACTTGGTAATTTATCTCAATTTAAAGTTGTATCAATTTTTCATAGAATATATAAAATAAATAATAGAAGATTTATAATAAATATTAGAAAATATATATTTCAAAAAAAAAACATAAAAAAATGGGAAGTCACAATCTTTAATTACTTTAGATAAACTTTTTTTTTTTTAGCTTTTTTTTTGAGTTTATATTTAGTTTCACTTTTAGTTTTAGTATTCAGAATAAGTTTAGTTCCATCATATTTAGTTTCACAAGTCTTTAAATTGCCGTATACTCACAAAATTCTTTACAAGGCAGACCTACACTTGCCTCTTACTGTTTCTCAGATGAAAAACTGCTTTTTTGACCCCATAAACTTTAATCTTCCATATTTAAAGTTTCCCAAGAGTACCACTCTGGCGCCACAAAAATTATGATTCAGTATATGAAATAATACCTTGAACTTTTCAGCAATTCTGGTGGCCAACTCTTCTTTCTTTGCTCATTCATAATCAGTTGGATTCAAATGTGGATGGAACAAGGACGCTGCTGCATTTCATGTGCAAGCAAATTGAGTACGGAATTCAAATGCCTCTGTTATCGGAGGAAGATTTTTAATTTTGTTTTTTTTTCTTGCTACTCTTGGTATGAAGTATCTCACATTTTGTGAGCTTCCTCTTTGTAGCTGTAGTATGTAATATGTAATGAAGCTTTGTTTGTAATATGTAATGAAGCTTTTGCACATTGCTATAAAATTTTGTAATAAAGATTTTACAAAACCTAAATGTTTGGCTTCAATACCAGGTTTCAGAACTTTTTTAGCTTTAGTTATTCGAATTCCTGAAAATTATGAAGTGGTATCATAGTGAGACAATCTACTGCTAACACTAGGTTTGCTTGGATATTTAGTTGTGCTGTTTTGGAACCAGTATATGCTGGGTCCCTAATTCTGGGTACCCGGTGCTAAAAACACGGTCCGAGATTTAAAACAGGGTCTAAAAATAAGGTCCGAGAACTTCATGGGAAAAAAATTCAGTTGAAAATTGTCTATTTTGGTTAAAAGGTCGATGGTCAAAACATTTATTTATTGTAAACAATCATTTAGCAAAAACCCTATTTAAAAGCAACCTACACAAAGTATTAAACTTTCATACATTTTTGCAATTAAAAAACTTCTGATCTTTTTAGAAACCATATATCAAATCCATTGCAAAATTAATATCTGCTAAAGTTACATCTCTTTATTGAGTTCAACACTTTCATACTCTGGAATCTATTCTCTATTTCTATAAATCTCAAATCCGGCCTTGTATGGTATACTGTTGCCATATCAGGGGAGGATCTTCTAATGATGCCCTTTCTCTTTTAGACAAGGTGCAAAAACGCATTGTAAACATAGTTTGGCATGCTTTTGTAGCCAACCTTCAACTATTATAACATTGTTGTAATGTTGCTTCTCTTTCTCTGTTCTACAAAAACTATAATGGGCACTGCTCTAAAAAGGTAGCATCTCGTGCTATCTACTAAATCTCATTTTCTTGTTAATCGTCATTCAATTAAGTCTCATCCTTTTTTTGTTACTGTTCCTAAGTGCTCCAAAAACTTTTATTTGTCTAGTTTTTTTCCTCGAACATCAGTTCTTTGGAATTCACTTCCTTCATCTTGCTTTCCTGATTCATATAATTTGCCATTTTTTATGTTGTCTGTCAATCATTATCTTGCTCTACAATCTTCATATTTTCTCTTCCAGTAACTTCCAACACTAATTAGTGGTTGGTTGCAGCCTTGTTGGAAACAAAGATGTTTAAAAAAAAAAAAAAATTAAAGGTTATGCTTGTTAAAAATATTTTTAAAGATATCTGGTGCTGGCTACATCAACAAAATGGTCGATTCTGGGTACCCGGTAAAACCGCCGAATTTCCTTGTCCCTGAGTCCAAACTGGGTACCCGGCACATCTCTAATATCTAAATTACAAGGTTTTTGCCACTATTTCTGAGACCTTGACCTTGTCAACAGACTCCATCCACACAACACATTTAAGATTTCTGTAAAAGTGTACAGGGCAGAAAAGTTACAGTTCGTTTGGGATTGTGTCAGTACCAGTATTGATCAAAGTAGCACCTGTTAAGGTTGCTTCTTTTTATCGCGCTCGCCCTTTTCTTACTCTTGATTCCATTCTTTAACTCTACAAATCTCTTATTCGTCCCTGTATGGATTACTGTTGTCATATTTACATTTCTTTCTCTTTTCTACAAATACGATCACAGTCGTTGCTCAAACGAGTTATCATCTCTAGTTCCATTAACTAAAACTCATTCTTGCTTGAGCCCATAGTTTAGCAAAATCTCATTCTTTTACTGTATCTGTCCCTGCATGCTCTAAAACTTTTATTTAACTAGTTTTTTTCTCTGCACTTTAACCCTTTGGAGCTCTCTTCCATCTTTATGTTTTCCTTACTCGTACAACCTACATATTTTCAAATCATCCGTTTTTTTGCTCTATAACTCTATTCTTTTTTTC